TTTAAATCATTTATTTCCCCAACAACCATTAAAACTCTACCCTTTTCTATTTCTTCAGTTGATAAAATTTTCAAGTTCAAGTTCTTTGAAAAAAGAATAGCTACTCCAGCACTTAAATTTGACCCGTGACTGAAGACGCTTTCCCCCTCCCACCATCTACGCCACTCTACTTCATTTCCACAATCTGTATGTGTTTCTTGCAAAAAAGAAACATTTACATTCTTAATATTAATTAATTCTGCCACCATTGCTCTCTTGCTCCCGTCTCTCCCTCCATTAATATTTAAAGAGGCTACCCTTATCATCTCCATAGAAAATATAAAGAGATAAAAAAGAGAGACAGAAAGAAATATAGAGTATAGTAAAGTCATCCTGAGTGATATGTATACCATTGATTCAATTATTTGAATTTACGTTTTAAAAGGGTTTTATCCCTTCGCAGTTTTGCAAGAAACTTTTTTAAACGAAATCTCTTTCTCTGACTGAGTTCATCTTCTCCAACCTTCCTCTGCCAATAACGAACAGAAGTCTCAAACCTCTTCAGATCAGAAAAATAATTCCGCACATCAACAGATTTTCCAAAGGTTTCGTCCAAGAATTTATTTATTTCATCTAGTGAATAAACCTGCTCACAGCTTATTTGCGAAGCATCTGACACGTCTGAAAAATCAGACAACCCACCACCATTATCATCATCATCATCATCATCGCCATCATCATCCATTTCCTCATCAACCATTTCTGATTGCACCTTCTTAATCAAAGATGCTATCTTTCCTCTTTCCAGAACTTCACCTTTCAAACCGTTTGCCTCATCATTCGTCTGGCTTGTGTTCTCTGACCTCTCCACAGTATCAGCCTGCTCAGACCCCTGTACCACAGTGCTTCTCTCAACAGCCACATCACTTACAACATTAACTTTCTTCATTTTTCCCTGTTTTGTCTTACTACCAGAAGCTTCCTCTGAATCTTTTTCAATATTATGGGACGAATCTTCTACTGTCATTCCTTCCTTCAAATTTAAATCCACATTCTGATCCTCATTCTCTACTGCTGCTTCATTTGGTAAATTACTCTTTTGCACTTCATTTTCCTTCCTCTTGTCTGAAGTATTGCTAGGGCCTGCTTCATTCTCAGATTCAACTCTATGAGGACAAGACAGCCTAACATGTCCAATACTCCCGCAATCAAAACACCGCATCTCTCCCGTGCTCGCGTCCATCATGTACGACTTGCCCTCAAATACACAGCGAAAGGAGATGTTCAGCGTTGGTTCGTTTAGAAACATGTACACCTGACGCCTAAACGACAACACATGTTTTAACGCGGCATTTTTACAACCAAGTGAAACCGTTCTAATTCCGCTGGCAAGTTTTCCAAATCGAGAAAGCTCTCGCTCAATATCGGCATCAGGAATAAAAGTTGGAACGTTAGAAACCGTCACCTTCGTCGTGATTGAAACTAAGGGTTGAACAGGAACAAATGTGCCACTTACCGAAATCCCGCTCTCGATCAAACCATGAACCAGCTTTTCTTCTTTCAAAAATATCACTACGGCCTTGTTCATCCGAGACGCCGAAATTATATTCTCATGACCCACGCGCTCTGCCACGTCCAGTAACACATCTTCAACAGGCACACCTGCCTGGGTCACACACCTAATCCCATGCCGGAGCGACAGGCCTGACGCCTGCACACTCGTATGAGTGTGAGACGCCATCCCTACCTCCGACACCAGACAACTCTCGCAGAAAAAAAACTTTTTTTTTTTTTTTTTTTTTTTTTTTTAACTTTTTTTTTTTTTTTTTTTTTTTTATTAAAATAATCGAATACAAGAAAAAGAAAGAAACAGTGAAAATTTCCTCTCACCTAGATCACCCTCCCATGCAATCCCTTCCCAATTCCCAGCATGCACCAGAGAGAGAGAGAGAGAGAGAGAGAGATAAGCATATGCGTCAATATTATTATTTATTTATTTATTCAATTCGTTTTAATTCATTCGTTCATTCTCGTTTTCTATTATTGACAGTAGATAACCCAGTAAATGAAACACACAAAGCCCTTTTAACAAGTATATATATATATGTTATATTATCTGGAATAATTACGAAAACCCGTGGGACTATCAATTTATTTTAGATATTCAGTTTAATTTTATATTTATTATAGATAGGACTATATACTTTATTTATTTATTAAAATTACACTGCATGTGTCCATTGATTGTGAAGTTATACATCGAAAATTGCAGATCAAGTGCATGGGGCTGCATGTTTTTTCTTGTTATGAATTGTATGCTATTTTCCGTTATTACGGTTAACTACGCGCAGTGATATGGAACTGTAATGCGGTCAAACCTGCCTGAAACTACTTTAGCCATGCGTTTCCCTGAAAATAATTGCACACCTTAGAACGTTCTCAACCAATCAGAATCAAGCATTCAACATCCCTGTAGTATAATTGGAAATAACACTACTTAACAAGATATAATAATAGACAATAGTAATGAATTGAACAAAAGTAAATAACTGAAAAATATTAAGTAGGCTACATCTAATAATGGTAGCCACAAGTTGGTGGGTATGTACATGCTTCATTCTTCTACTACTTTCTATTCGTTTGTGATTTCATTTGCAAACCCGCCACCTACAGTAAATTAGCTCAAAATTAGCAAATTTGTGTCCTATATGGAAAATAAAGATGGTGATTAAAGGTTCTCTAAGCGATCCTGGGTGACGTCACTTCTTGTTGACGTTCGAACTATTGTCAAACAAAACGGAGGCTAGCTAGACCCTCCCTCCTCCTCATCCGCGCACTAACCCCCCAAACCCCACCCCCAAGTCCTTCTTGTCGGTCATTGGCTGGAACAGTTTGTTATGTTTCGTGGTGCGGGTAAGCCCAGTTTGTTTTTGTTGCCGTTTGTGGAGCCTGGGGTGTCTGCAGAGACCGCATTTTTTTACAGTGTGTTCAGGGGACAGGCAGCTAGCAGATAGTGAGGAGATGTTTGCTGTATGTGACAAAAAAAGTTTTGGCCTAAAAAACGCGTGACATCGCTTAGAGCACCTTTAAGTTAAACTTTTCTCACAGACATTTTTGGATGTATTTGCCAACCTAACATTAGTTAACTAACAATCAAAAATACCTTTATGGCATTTTAGGGGCTGTTTACATGACACCACGTTTCAACTTAAAACTTTTTATGCGTTTTGGCCATTCATTTACACGACAACAGCGTTTTGGGTATCTGAAACGGGTTTCAAAATGCAAGTTTTTGAAGGCGGTCTCCGTGTAAACAACAAAAACATGAATCTCTACAAAAGATGACGTTATGCACATTCGAATTACGCGTTTAGTTTATAGTGTTTCATCGACATCTAATAGCCTGGCAGCAGAATACAGTGTTTTTTTTTACTTTTTCGCAGATCCGTGTGAATCGTTTTGACGATGTCGTCTGTACACAAAAACTTCTCAGGTTTAAGCATGTCGTCGTGTAAACGCTTAGTTGACAGTATTTAATGCACTGTGAACTGACATGAAAATTATCAATTTTATTAACTAACATTAACAAAGGTTAATAAATGCAGTAAGAATATATTGCTTATTGTTAGTTTATGTTAACTAATGTTGTTAACTAATTGTATAGTGTTACCAAGATACTTTAATAAAATACAACTTTACAGTTTTGGGAATGTGTTTTTCTTCAGTTAAATTTGTATTATATCTATACAGTACTGTTCAAAATGTTGTGCTCAGTAAGAATGACAGTAAACACAGTAAAAACAGTAATATTGTGAAAATATTTACAATTTAAAATAACTGTTTTTCTATTGTAATATATTTTAAAATGTATTTTATTTCTGTGATGGCAAAGCTGAATTTTCAGCATCATTACTCCGGTCTTCAGTCACATGATCCTTCAGAAGTGAGTCCAATATGCTGATTTGCTGCTCAATAAACATTAATTATTATTATCACTCAGTGATGTATGACCTTTTTTCACATGGATGCATTAGAAGACATGAAGAATGCAAATTTATTTGGTGTTAAGCAGCTATGACAAATATTATAATAAGGGTGATTGAAGAAATGCATCTCTTTGCATGCTCTCTATTTACACCACTATATTATACACTTATTTGAAAACAGTCCAGCTGAGTAGTTAATGTACTCAGTTTATGTACTACGTTATGCCATTTATGTACTGCTAAGTAGTTCACAATTCACCCAAAGTACTGTTTTTACTGCTCTATATAATCATTAATCCTTTATGGTCCTCATATGTTACTACTGTGTGAATTTTGACATAACGTGAACCAAATCAGGCAGATAAAATTACAGTTCCAGTGTTGCCTCACTGATAGGTACAAACGTGCAGCAGATCTCAATAGACTTTGAATCCTTAAGTTGGAAAAGTAGCAAGACTGTGCCAGATGCTTCTTACATTTTTGTATCTACAGTCATAATGAGTGATAATATTTGCCATCTGTTTTCTCTAATGAAGTGTGTTTTTTTTTTTTTTTTTTTTTTTTTATGGATTGAGAGAGCCAATGTGTTAGTAGATGTGTGTAATAATGTTTCTGTAATAAAGTCTGCTGGTACTGACATTGCTTGATTAATTTCTTTTAATCTCTTTCTTAGGCAGTGAGTAATTTATTGGTATTTATATATACACGATATAACCCGATATATATATATATATATATATAATATACCCCCCCCAAATACGACTACCTCATGCCAGTGTGGTGCATTAGGTGAATAAACCTAATTTTGACAGATGTAAAATGTGTTTTGTGTTTCAAGGGGAAAAAGAAGATAATATAGGGACTTATAATATAAGTCAATAGTAATCATACTTGAGATTTACAAAAACCAAACTACACTCTTTTCTCTATCTTTATGAATGTGAAAAAAGTGTTACTAAGATACTTTATATTTTTATATATGTAATACAAACTGTTTTATTTTCAATTCAGATTAATTAATGTTTCCTGTTTCAGCAAGAGTTTCTGGACATTATGCCAGTTGAAGAGGTCTGTGATGGCGTTTCAGCAGAGGATGATGCTAATCCGGGGTTGGATGTTCCTTTCCTTTTAGAAGAGTGTGTAAAAGAGAAGGTGCCATGGAAGGAGGTGTTGAAAAGGAAGGTGGGAAAAAAGTGTTCCTGCAGTCGTGCTCGAGTCAAAGCCTTGCTCGTAGACTCCATTCCAATCGTAAAATGGCTTCCGCGATATCACTTCAAAGACTGGATCATTGGGGATGCCATGTCTGGCCTTATCGTCGCCATCCTGTTGGTTCCCCAGTCCATCGCTTATTCTTTACTAGCAGAACAAGACCCTATTTATGGGCTCTATACTTCCTTCTTTGCCAGCATTATATACGCCCTGCTGGGAACCTCCAGGCACATCTCTGTTGGGATGTTTGGGGTATTGTGCCTTCTGGTGGGACAGGTTGTTGACAGAGAACTTACTCTGGCAGGATACACATCGGACACCAATCAGACCATCATGGGAAATTTGGACAACAGCACTGGTCTAATCTGTGACCGAAGCTGCTATGCAATCATGGTGGGAGCAACACTAACTTTCACAGCAGGAGTCTACCAGGTTGGTTCATCTATCAAGGTTAAGCTTCTTCTATTACATTTTTGAAATCTCTAAATGTATTAATGTCTTGCTCTGCTTGGGTTGCAGGTGTTAATGGGTCTCTTACAGGTTGGCTTTGTCTCAGTCTTCCTCTCCGACTCTCTGTTGAGCGGTTTTGCGACTGGCGCCTCTCTCACCATCCTCACATCCCAGATGAAGTACTTTCTGGGGCTTCACCTTCCTCGTGTCCAAGGCTGGGGTTCGCTCATAAAAACCTGGATCTGTCTTCTGAAGAATCTGGGTCATACCAACGTATGTGACCTCATAACAAGCGGGATCTGCTTGCTTGTACTTGTACCCGCGAAAGAGCTCAACAACCGCTTCAAGGCTAAGCTCAAGGCCCCCATTCCTTTTGAGCTCTTTGTGGTCATTGCTGCTACTCTAGCTTCCCACTTTGGAAAGTTTAAGGAAACTTATGGCTCGGATGTAGCTGGCAACATCCCCACGGGCTTCATGCCACCACAGCTTCCGAACTGGTCTCTCATACCCAATATCGCTGTTGATGCATTCTCGATTGCCATCGTTGGTTTCGCCATTACTGTGTCTCTGTCAGAGATGTTTGCCAAGAAGCATGGTTATATGGTGGACCCTAACCAGGAGATGTATGCCATTGGGTTCTGTAATATCATTCCTTCCTTCTTCCATTGTTTCACGACCAGCGCCGCCTTGACCAAAACTCTTGTGAAGGAGTCCACAGGTTGCCAGACTCAGGTCTCGGGGTTGGTGACCGCTCTAGTGCTGCTGCTCGCCCTGCTTGTTATTGCACCTCTCTTCTACTCGTTGCAGAAGTACGTATTAAATTGTCAGTTTCACTTGCATGAACTTAGTAATAAATACATTGTCAATGTAGGAAGAGTCAGGATCTAATATTTATTGAAAAACATTAAATAAAAATGCAATTATTCATACAGTGATTTGAAAACACCTTTGCAGGGCTTGACATTAACACCCGCCAACCCTCCAAATGCGGGTGGACTTCAGCAGTCACATTAGATATAATATATTTTTTTTTTAAATTGTAGTCTTTTAAAAAGGCATCTGAAATGATAAACTAAGTGCAATGTAGTGTTGTCGAAAATATCGATTTTTCGATACATATCGATACTGAAAAATCTGAAATGCTTTCAATATTCATTTTTAGCAGAATAGATACACAATACCAGATACACAATCTCTCATCTCTCCGACAGCGAGTTACACACAAACCCGCCTCCCCTCCTTCACTCGTTTCATTTGCTCCGGGTGAATATTGCTGGCGTTACAGGCCTTGAATTTCATCATGGGATTGAGTGTTTTGCACATAATTTTACTCATTCCGCAGATTTTTACTCGCACCCAAAGTGTGCGCACAAAATGCCGCCTCTCAGTACTAAATTGAGTTCTTTTTTTAGTTCTTTTTTTAGTTCTTTTTCACTGCTTATTGCACTTAAACAGTCAAAATCACACAAAATAATGACAAAATGCTGGTTTTGGGTTGAATATTCACGTAAACATTCAGTTATGTTTTAAGTAAATGTAAACAGATGAGAAGGAAAACTCATGTGTAACACTATAAGGGATCCATGCGTCAGGTCTTAAAGTGACAGCAGCCTAATATACCTGCTGCCAAATTATGAAATAATATTAAAATAAAATCTATATGCCAGTTTTTCCCCATGGTATTGATGTCAAAATTGTGGCTCGTATCTTTGGAAAAGCACTAGCCACAGTGGCTGGTAAGCAACAAAGTTAATGTCCTGCACCTACAGTATGATGAACATGCTTTTACTTTCTGATTTGGAAATTCATTTTTTAGGGGGCATAAAGTAAAAAAATTTATTACAAAAATCTGGGTGATTCAGCTCTCCTAATACTATAATTATAAAAAAGTCTCAAGCCAAATTTTTAAAACATTACTAATATCATTTAAAAAGTGTCGTGATGTGAACAACATGCAGAATTTTCTTTTTATACATTTTTTTTTTTCATTGACCCAAAATAATTTTGAGACCTTAACACACAAGTGTCCTTGGAAAGTATTCAGGTTTTCACACCCAGTCCCATTTGTATCTTGAAACTGTGTGTATTTCCACTATACTTCTCCTAATTTCGTCCTCTTAAACTCTGCAGAGGCGTTCTGGCCGTCATCATAGTCGTCAACCTCCGTGGGGCACTGCGAAAGTTTGTGGACATTCCCAAAATGTGGCGTGTCAATCGAGTGGACTCTATCATCTGGCTGGTTACCATGTCTACGTCAGCCCTAGTGAACACTGAGCTAGGCCTGCTGGTTGGAGTTCTGGTCTCTGCGTTCTGTGTGCTAGGCCGAACCCAGTCTGCCCAAGTCCTTCAGCTGGGCCAAGCAGGGGATCGTGAGCTCTTTGAGGACATTGGGTTTTACAAGGGCCTTCAGACCCAACCAGGTGTGGCTGTTTTCCGATACGAGGCTCCAATCTACTACGCCAACCAAACTCTGTTTAAGAAGTCACTGTACCGCAGTGTGGGACTGGATCCACTTAAAGAGAAGGCCAGGCGTAGGAAACTAGAGAAGCAAAGGAATCAGAAACAAGGTGGAGAAGACCTGAAGCAAGAGATTGAAGTGTCCACCAATGTGTATTTGCTACAGCACACCAGTTTACACACATTGGTCATAGATTGCAGTCCAGTGCTGTTTCTGGACACTGCTGGAGTCAATGCTTTGATAGAGGTATGCAAGGACTACAAGGAGCTGGGAGTCAATGTACTTTTGGCACAATGCAACATCTCCGTCATTGATTCTTTGCGTAGGGGAGGCTACTATGACCCAAAGAAAGGAACCAAAGAAATAAAGTTTCACACTGTTGGTGATGCCATCTCTTATGCCCAAAGCTTGAAGTCAAAGAATGGTGATTGTGACACTGTTGTGTAATAATTTATGTATTGATTTGTATACAGTTGTCTTTGAATTTAATATTTGTCTGTTTTGGCATAATATGGAGATTTATATGTAAAGGCACCCACACACTAAAAGATAATCGGGCGGATTTTGGGCCCAATTCTCCCCTTCCGACTATCCAAGGTTAAAGTCCCGATTATCTTGATGGTTCTACAGATTATCTTATCAGATTTTCCTGTGGAGTGAGGTGTTAAGAGTGAATGAATCTGCTCAGAAGAACATCGTGGCCGCACTGATCTCAAATTGTAAATATCCATCATGTTGAATATTTACGATCAGAAATCCTGTTGTGGACAAACGCGCGCACACTCTGTAGATTGTCACGTGGAACTAAACAATACCAAATCAGAAAATGAGCCGATGGAAGCGTATCACGACTTCATCCAAACCTTTTTCTTTTTTTTTCTGCAAAAAGCAGTCCAAACACTTTATTGCCATTTCTTCTTGCCTATCGTCCGCCATGTTTGTTTATTCCAAGGTCACGTTTGACCGTGAGAGATTTTGCGAGGTTTCCTGTGTTCACAGTCGAGACTCTGGTTGTTTGTGAATGGAATCTGTTAGTATGTGGTGTGCTTTCTTGGTCACATCACTTGTCTCCACACACTATAGGAACAAAACTGTTAAATCTATGGGGGGTTTTTTATCGCCATGTTTGTTGACTATGAAAATCTGATGAGATTTTAAAAAGCGTTTAGTGTGGGCCAGCCTTAAATGATTTCAGAATTAGTTGAATTTAACTAAAGGGATAGTTCACCCAAAAAGGACAAGTCTGTCATCATTTACCCACCCACATGTTGTGATCTTCTGTGGAACATAAAATATGAACAGTGAACAGTGATTTTGACCATACAGTGAATAATAATAATTATTATTATTTTATCGAGTGAATGTGAACAGTGAATGTCAGTAGGGTCCAAAACATCATGCTTCATTTTTAAATAATATTTAAAAAAATTCAGGTAATACATGTTATTGTTGATCTTTTTTTTGAGAACTATTTCTTTAAGGTTCTGAAAATGGATAGACAATCATCTGTTCACATCTTTCAACAAAAATGGTATTGAAAAAAAAGTGCTGTATTGCCTTTTAAGGTTAGTAGTTCAAACTTTGTTAAATGTAGGTCATTGTGTATCTCATGACATTTGTCTTAAAATTATGCATTTACACATTTTATAGCACATTAAGCTTAATTTAAGTAGCTAAAGTTCAGTAAGGGCTCGACCTTTCTTCATGAATATAAATGGTTTATGCTAGACAAGCTCTAGCTTGTATATTTATCTCCTTCCAATCTAGTTTTGATGCTCATGCAGTCAGAATTATGTGATATATAATCTCATTTGTGACATTTACCCAGCTTTATGGGTACTTGTGCAGGTTTAAAAGACCATAAAACTTGGATGAATGCAAGTTGAACTCGTTCACCCAGTTACCAGATGTTTACCTCAATTGCAGAAGAACCAGATGCCGTGCCTTGTCACTGTGATTGTGCAGCCACAGAGTAGTTTTTCAAAATGTGCATCCTTCCTTTCTTTAAGGCTTTGCTGAAGAGGCCAAATATTGTCCAGGAATTCGCTTTGACTCAGCTTTTGTTCTTTGTAGGGAGTAAAGAGGACTCGGGTAGAGCGTTTTAATGGCATCATGTCTGACCTGTTGAACAGGTCTGAAGGAGCTGGAGACACAGCCAGATCCAATGATACCGTGTATTAAGTTCAGGGAACTGACACAATCTGTCCTCCTATTGGCTGAATTACAACAGGGTATGAATACAGATGATCCTTCTTATATGCTGGAGCCTTTGCAATATGTCATTGATCGAATTCTACAAATAGAAATACTGTTGAATTGTGTATTTAAACCTTTTAATGCAAACGGGGAACCATTTATGAAGTTCTAAGCTTACACATTGTCTATGTTGAGACTTTATTTATTGAAACATTTCGAATGGTTTTAAGTTAATGCTTTTAGATTCTTTTAGTTTCTGTGCATCTTAATTTCTTGGTATTATAATTACTGCATCAGCTCAGAGTCTTTACATAATTGTTACAGATGTATTTTATGTTCTTAAAATATCTCTATAAAAATCCAGGTATTTTCATATCTATGCAACTATACGACAACATATTGTATTTTTGTGATCATGGTACAAATAAACCAAATGTTTAAAGATAACTGTTGTCTTTGTCTTGAGAAATCTCCTAAATTGGCTTTACTTTTATATTGCTTCACTGAATTAATATTTTATTCTGTGCTTTTAGTCTGTTTACAATTGTTTTCTTTTTAAAGTGAAATTGAAGAGTGAGGGGAAAAATCATTTGTTTACTTTGTGCTTTAACTCAAAGCTACCACCAGTGTGCAGCATTGTTCTGCCACAGATCATGTTATTATGCATGTAGTCTTTAAAGGGGTAGTTCACCTAAAAATGAAAATTCTGTCGTCATTTACTCACCCTCATGCTATTCCAACCTGAATGACTTTCTTTATTTTGTGGGAGGCGAAAGAAGATTTATTTTGCTTTTGATAATAAAGATATTTATTTATTATCGTTTGTGTCCTGCAGATAAAAAAGTAAGTCATAGGTTTGGATTGGAATGAGAGTGAGTAAATGAAGTCAAAATGTTTAATTTTGGGTGAACTATCTTTAACTTTGAAAATACTGACATATCAGTGCTGAGAAACCTCCAACCTCCAGATTTATGGATAACGCAGATGAAAATGTACTAAAATTCCAGTGTTTTATGTAGCTGCTGACAGGTTTTTTTTATTTTTTTTATGAGTGTTCTGAAAGTTTGGCGTGAGAACTATGGCAGCACAATCTGCAGTTTATGATGCCTTTAGATTCTATGGCCAGTTTGTCTCCTGTCAAAAATATTTTATATTGGTCTCATCTCAAAGGAAGCCAGAGAGAAAGGATGTCTCAAAGACATGGAGCATCTCAATGACATTAGCAGGTGTTAGGATGGCAAAGACAACAGCTGTCTATTCTTTCATCAGGATTTTGAAAAGGACGAGGCCTATGAATGCACACAACCTTTGTTAAAATGCAAAAAGGCACTAAAGACAAGCATTTTTTCATTGTAATTTAATTTGTAACATCATTATTTCGCAGTTTTGTAAATATTTTTGGCAACACTTACTATAAAGCATGCATACATAGGTGTAATTTGCAGGTGGTACAGGTAGTACATGTCCCCACCACTTTTTGCCAGTGTTGATATTGTCCCCACCATGTCACGGTACTAATTTACCGTGTACAGTAGTTGACTAGTATTACTTTAATTAGTTTATGTTAAATAAGAGGTGATCTACTGGGGCGGCAGTGGCTCAGTGGTTCATGTGGGTTGTCTACAAACCGGAAGGTTGGTGGTTCAATCCTCGGTTCCACCTGACCAAGTGTCGAGGTGTCCATGAGCAAGACACCTAACCCCAGCTGCTCCCGACGAGCTGGATGGCGCCTTGCATGGCTGCCGTCGCCCGTCGGTGTATGAATGAGTGTGTGAATGGGTGAATGTGAGGCAAATGTAAAGCGCTTTGGTGGCCATTGGGTCTGTGAAAGCGCTATATAAATGCAGTCCATTTACCATTTACCATCTGATGCTGAATTATTTTTTTTTTTTTTAAATAATGAGTGCTTGTGGTTTCCGCCTGTTATCAGTGGCGGTGGCTCGTGCACAGAAAGATGCTCTATTGCTAACCGATGCTTAGACATGACCAGTCTGAAGAGCATGTGGAAACACGACAATGAACTTGACATTGGCCGGCGACAGCTTATGACATACTACTGGTGCGACTTTGAGTATAAGAGGGCACCTGTAGAACACGTCATCGGCTTCTTGTCTGAAGGAGACACCCACAGGAATCCCTGAAGCATGGCAAGGGGACGCAGTGTCTCGTTCCCCTTCTCGGAACCATAGTTACATGCATAACCTGAGATGTTACCCTTTGAATGGGAACTCGCAGTGCGTCCCCTAGAGGACACTTTGTGGAACGAGTACCCACTCAGCCATGCTGAAGGGATGAGTGCCTTATTGGCTGAAATTAAGTGAAAGACTCTAGGGAGTCCCTATTCCTGAGGTACTCACCAGCGGCTGTCATGACTAATTCCATACGGCCAAAGCCAGAGCTGCATACCTTACCGGAGCAGACATGGCTTGCACCCTTCCTCGCTTCCCTGTAGGACTGAGTCAAAAAGAACTCAGCCCACAGGCAGAGCTCGAGGGCGTGGCATTCCCGAGAACACCTTTAAGGGTATGCCATAACTGAATGGAGTTTTGAGAGCCTCCTAAAAGCATTTCAGAGGAAAAGCCACTCTGTACTACTGCATAACAGTTTATAAGAAGTGGGAACGCGAGAAGCGATACTGCCCATCTTCCATGTAACCAATATACAATTCATTGTACTGTAAGGATCACAGCTGAAGAGGTGGGATGCGAGCCATGGGAATAGCCCACCCTCTTCATATAAATCTTACAGCCTTAAAGGAGTAGTTCACTTTTGAAAAAACTTTTGCTGATAATTTACTCACCCCCATGTCATCCAAGATGCCTATGTCTTTCTTTCCTCAGTCGAATAGAAATTACGGTTTTTTAAGAAAACATTCCAGGATTTTTCTCCATATAATGGACTTAAATGGGAACCATACGGTCCAAGGTCCAAAATACAGTTAATAACAGTTTCAGATGCAGCTTAAAATGTCTTTAAACGACACCAGACGATGAATACGGGTCTTATCATGCGAAACGATCGCTCATTTAAAAAATAAATAACAACGTTTAAGTTTTATAAGCTCACATGCTCGCCTTTCTCTGTTCTGTGTAACTCTCCTGTTCGAACTCGTTCATCAAAATGAACAAATCTTTTTCCGAGTCAATTCGTTCATTTCGGTCGTTAAATGAATCAAATGACTCGAAAAAAGATTTGTTCATTTTGATGAACGAGTTCGAACAGGAGAGTCACACAGAACAGAGAAAGGCGAGCATGTGAGCTTCTAAAACTTAAACGTTGTTATTTATTTTTTA